GTGTGTGTGTGTGCGTGTGTGCGTGTGTGTTCGTCTGCCTGTGATGAGTGGATGGTTTGTGTTTGTCTTTCTTCTTTCCTTCCTTCCACTGAGCGATGATGTAAACATAATAAACCTGAAGTGTATTAAATTAAATTACATTTCATGATGGTTTCTACACTTGAACTGAGCTCAGTGAGTCTGCGTAACACCAGGTCTATGTATGAGTCGGTACATGTTATAACCCAAACACAAATTTAAGTTGTCTCTCTACAAATGGACAGAGGTCTTCACTGTCCATTTGTATGAGTGTTATCCTGTATATAAAAGATAAAAAGATTCTGAACTTGAAACATGAAGTACCTCAGTGTCTTTCTGTAATGGCCAGTAGGAGGAGACTCCTCTGGTAGTAAACAGATGGACAAAAGACGGACGTCCCCACAGTAACATTTCCCCCTAACTTTGTATTTTGGAGCTTCAGTGTTAGTGTTTAGGTGGGGTTTCCTGTTAAAGTAAGTGATTCTTCAGGGGTTTGGTCTTTTGTTGAGTACATCACTACTGGTCAGGATGCTCATATATACAAATGCATTAAATATTCAAAACATAAGTTTGTGTTTCAAAATGCCTCAATATGTTCAACTGTATGAATGTGTGTCCAGAGTGTGTTTATCTCTATAACAAGATAAGATGCCATGACAGTTTATTTTGTGTCAGTCTCCAAACAGGCCTCCTGGGTCTGACAGCTTCTCTTCTACTACCATCTCCACCGGAAGCTACATGACTACTGACCCAGAGCAGAATGTAAACACCGGTGAGGAACAGCCGGGTGTGTAGGTGACATGTCTGTGCAGCTTTAAATCAGATGATCCAGCAGATACTGGGGTAGTTCTTCATGATTAAACGGATAATATGGTTAAACTGTAAGGATTATAAGGGAGCATGTTGTTTATATGTTACAGCTGTGTGCTGCTGTACAGAGTAAGGTTATTGACACACAGGAAATGTTCATTTTAATTTTTATTATTAATCATGAGATTAATAAAAGGTTTTGGCAGAAAACTTACTTGGGTAGGTTTAGGAATTTCAAAAGTACTTGGTTTAGATTCATTTCACTGTATTTTTATTTCTGTTTCTGACTTTGCTATACTTCTAATGTGCTGACCTGGTTCTTCTTCTTCTACTTTAGATAAATCTCTCCTCCATAAACGCACTGATCAACAAGAAGGTGGAGCAGATTTACAACACGTCTCCTGTCTGTCTGGTGAGAGCTTCTGTGTTAAGGAAAACTCAGCGACTGGCCCTCCTGGTCTGTCTGTGGACTCGATGTTCAGTGACAGCAGTATCCAACAAATTATAGACAAATATACACGGGAACTTGACCTCTCCCTCAGCTCTGCTGGGAAAACAGGTACAAAATGGACATGTTTATTTGAAGGCGATGCTCTGTCTTCACCTTGATAGTTTAGGTAGGAGTGTTAAGACATGGTGTGATAAGATGCTGAGATGTGACAAAGGCTGTCTGATAGCACAGTGTTTTATTCCTTTGTTGATCTTTAGACAGTGAAGGCTCACATATGGAAGAACGCAGCGCTTCGGTCTCTCAGCAGTCTTTGTTTCGAGTCTTGGAGAGAAGAGGGGAGGATGAAAGCTCTGCACGACGTCAGTCTCTTCTCTCAGACGCAGCAGGAACGGAGACGAGAGGCCTGGTCAGTGATTCAGTTTTAAGCTGTTATACTAGAGTCCTTTGAAGCTCTTTGTAACAACTGTTATCGATATTTGAATACCCTGAGTGATGATGTAAACATAATGAACCTGAAGTGAACTAAGTTAAAGTACATTTCATGATGGTTTCTACACTTGAACTGAGCTCAGTGAGTCTGTGGGCATGCACATGTTGTAACCCAAACACAAATTATGAGTATTAAGCTGTATATAAAAGATAAACATAGACTCTGCACTTGAAACAGGAAGTACCTCAAAACCAGCTAAATGTCTTTTTTGTAATGGCCCGTTGGGCTCAGACTCCTCTGGTAGTAAACAGACTGGACAAAGGACGGACATATCCAGTAACATCACCCACTAGCTTTGTAGTTTGGAGCTTCAGTGTTACTTGTAGCAGCAGACTATATCAATCAGATTTTAGAGTTGAATTAGTAGAGTTTTAACTTGTACTTGTAGATGAAGCAACAAACTGTGTTAACTGACAATGGTTTTCTGAAGTATTCCTGAGCCCATGTGGTAATATCCTTTACAGAATGATGTTGGTTTTTAATGCAGTGCTGCCCGAGGGATCAAAGGTCACAGGCATTCAGTGTTGGTATTTGGCCTTATGTGCAGAGTTTTCTCCAGGTTTTCTGTATCTTTTGATGATATTGTAGACAGTAGATGATGAAATCCCCAGATTCCTTGCAATTGTACATTGAGAAACATTGTTCTTAAACTGCTGGACTATTTGCCCATGCATTTGTTCACAAAGTGGTGAACCTCGCCCCATCCTTGCTTGTGAGCGACAGAACCTTTTGGGTATGCTCTTTTTGTGACAAACACCCGTTTCCAATGAACCTGTTCACTCATGGAATCTTCAAAACAAGTGTTTTTTGAACATTCCTCAACTTCCCCAGTCTTTTGCTGCCCCTGTCATAGCTTCTTGGAACGTGTTGCAGGCATCAAATTCAAAATGAGTGAAGATTTGCAAAACAACAATAAAGTTTATCAGTTTGAACATCAGATGTCTTGTCTTCGTAGTGTATTCAACTAAATATAGGTTGAAAAAGTTTTGGAAACCACTGTGTTCTGTTTTTATTTACGTTTTACACAACGTCCCAACTTGATTGGAATTGGAGTTGTACATCTACAATGACAATATAGAGCTATTCTGTTCCATTATGTTCTAGCCAGTCTCTAAATTGCAAAAAAAAGTGGAAAGTAGATTTAGAAGAATTTGACTTCTTCTTTTTTTTTCTTTTTTCCCCCTGTTATCGTTGCAGGAAGTGCACAATCAAGTGGATCCCAAAGTGGGCGAGTTCTCTGCTGGAGCCTCATTACTGGTTGACGATCATGAGCAGGATTCTTTCCGGCCTCTGATTGGTCAGCTGGCAGACCGGTCATCCTGCCTCGTTACCGAGCAGAGGGATTCGGCCCTGGAGCAGCTTGTTGGTCATCCGTCAGCTCACTCATCAATGCTTGGTCACTCTCCGGGCCAGCTGTTCTCCCCAAGTGTGGGTCAAGATGGATGGGATTCCACACTGAGTCGGATGATTGGTCGGCTCTCCCATCAGTCCAGCTCTCACTGGTTGAGCGGCGGGCGAGACCTTTATGCAGGTCATATGATGGGTCGGATGGAGACGCAGCAGTCGACCTCATGGTTAGATGAAGCTCCCGATGAGAGCCAGATGAGACCCCTGGTAGGAGAGCTGGACGAGTCTGCAGAACAGCACAGTGGAAGCTCAGGTAAAATGATCATTTGACTGAATTTATCAATTAATGGCTGAATATCAAGGAAAGTGAGTGAAACCTAATATCACATTCTTAGCTACAGTGCAGTGACAATAACTAAATATATCAGTAATTTTATAGCAGGATATGTAGAGCTCATATAATATGCTGTATATAAAAGATGGACCTAGTTTCTAGATCTAATGGTGTATTTTTGCAAAACATAAATTAAGGTTTTCCCCTTGTGTGACTGCAGTCATTGCCCCTAATAGCCAACTGGACGAGAACTAGTACAATCAATACCTGGCATCAGGTTACAATGATTTATTTTCAGAACCTGAAAATTATGGCATGAAAGTAAGTTTTTAAAAAAACACTACGTAGAAATGTGATTCTTAATAATCTTTTTCAGGCAAAATGACCAAATATTAGTTTGCTGAACAACTTTAGCTTGAATTCTTCCAATTGTGAGTTTTTGTCTCATTTACAAGTTTCCACTTCAGTTGAAGTTAAACACGAGCATTTTGTAAATAATGGCCCCCATTAAAGTCAGAAACAACAGTAATGCAGAGTATGCTTTTGGATGATCACTGCCACATCTTGGTATCTGTGAGCTCCACCCCTCACCCAGTTTCAGAACACAGAGATGGTGATTTGTAGAAAAACAGCCAAGTTGAGGCTTAAAAAACAGGACCATTAAATTATGGGACTTAATTCATCTTCTATAAACAGTCTCATACAAACCAACTGTCTTCATAAGCATGTCCACCGTGAAGTTTGACGTGTCATTCATTTGTTTGCAGTTAAAAGAAATCGTGTGACTCTTGTTGTCTCAGCTGACATCCGGGTCCCATCATATCCAGCGCTGCCTCCCGAGGCCTCATCACACAGTGCCTCTGTCCCAGCTATGAGCCCACATCCACAGGATCCGACACAGCAGAATCAAACCAGTTCAACAGACATGGACTCAGGCAGAGCTGAAGGTGTGGTGCAAAATATTCACGTAAGACTTTACTGGGGTCAGTCATCTGTGGTGACACTTTACAGTAGCAATCAAGATAATCCGTTTATTAACTGGTTATTAGAAAGTTGAAAATTATGTTAAAAGTGCATAAGCAAGGAGGTGAGGTGGCAGCTCCCTTCTTATGCTTGTGCTTTTTCCTAAACCTGGCCGAAGTCAGGTTTAGGAAAAAGGCCTGGTCTGGGTTTGCTTAAGGGTGCCCAGCGAAATAAATCATCACTCCAATGAACAGGTGTTAGTATGTGAGGAGTTAAAGTGAGACTCCATGAGATAAGGTGCTACTTCTAATGAGAGATTGTTTTTCACCATTTTTAGAGTTTGCAGGTTCAGATTCATTCCACCCCCTTTTGGCAGAGGTCACCCAAAACGAAACAGCAGACCTCTCCATCACCTTTCACCAGCCTGAGCACAGCGTGCACAATTTTCCTGACGTGCATCAAGCCACCAGGGAATGCAGTGTTACCACACCTGTAGAGGTCATTTCGAACTCTGATCTTTCTTCTGTGGAGTCCGAGCCATCACCAGAGCATCTTCGAACGGAGGAGCCAAACCGCAGCCCCGCAGCTTCCTCCACCTTACATGAATCCTTCTCCCAGCTCATTACCACCCAATGCCATCCCCAGGAGTCTGTTCTGATAGTATCTCCCACCGTGAGGGCAGATGTTGAGCAAACAGCTGAGATTCTGTCAAATTTATCCATGGGTGATGAGACACCTGCTTTGGGTGTGTCACGGGCAGAGGAAAGGCTTGGAGGCGCGGATTCAATCAGTGCCGAAGAGATCAAGTGTGGTCACGGTCCAAATCTGAGGAATGTTTCTCCTGTCTCTGATAAGATACTGGTATGAATCTGTGATTTGTTACTTTGGTCAACTTTGAAAAAGCACAGTTATTTGAGTAAAAACTGTTATTTCTGATGTTTTAAGTTAGCTTTACCTATTTTTATAACTCTGGTGTTGCTTCATTGTTTATTAGGAAGCAGCCAAAGAGAAGGGGATCCTGGAGCAGTCTGAGATCACACTGGTGAGCCTGACAGACTCTACACTGCAGGACCAGGAGTCCACCAGCTCAGAGGAAGAGGGAGCTTGGGTAATCAAGAATCCAGATGGAAGGGGTGAGGAAGGGCAGAAAGGCCAAGAGATGGAGGTGACTGTTCAGAAGTGACGTGACTGAGTTTTCATTCAGGTTACTTTCTCATCTCTAAACATTAACATTTGCTTGTAGGGTGCAGAATCTACGTTGATACCTGAGGAGACTCCAGAGTACGACAGCCAAACACATCCAGGTAAAGCAAGTGGAATATATCTGCCTGAAATATAACAGAGTCAAACTGGTGGGAAAACCATAGGCCTGAACAACGAAGCAGGACTCTGAGCTCAGGGAGGTAACTTCAGGTTAAACTCTGAGTTTTAAATGTAAAGTCGTTCATGTCTTACTAGGGTACATCGCCATGGTAACTTATGCGGCAGGATAAGTGCTCCAGATCAGGTTATAATTGATATTACAGATCACGGACTACTGATCAAATATGTCACAGGATGATTCCTTCTGGAGGATCCCTCAGACCTCATTGTGCTGGTATTAAGGGGCTCTAAGATGGTCTACAGTTTTTGTTAATCATCAAAAAGCAATATAGTACTTTGAATTGCTTTGTAGTACAGACGTCAAGGGACTGATATACATATTTTCTCTCCTAACATTACATCATTTTTAAGCCAAAACTTTATAAACCTGACCGTTACTTCCTTCCCTCTTTCCAGTGACAGTCCTAGAGTTTCAGTGGGGTCTGTGCAGAGACCAGCCAGATGTCAACCAGCAGAAACTTGCAGCTCTGCTCCAGAGATCCAACCACAGGGTGAAGGAAATCAAGGCCAAAGCTGCTCTTGCTAAAACTCAACGTGAGCTCCAAGTGCTACCAGAAGGAAGTGAGCAAGCTAAAGCGAACACATGTCAACCAGTGACCTGTAACACAAAAACTAAACCAGAACCTCTACACAAGGCCAGTACAAAGTCAAAGGGAGAACAGGCCCCACAACAGATGGAGGAATCTGGTTTCATCAAGCAGCAGAAACCCCCCCAGCTTCTTCCACCAGGTACCACCAGAATAAAAATGAGAATTACTTCATCCTGCATTAGGGAAATTATTTTATTACAGCGCTTGCATGAAATCTGCCAGATGCTTCTGCCTGAGAGATAATTATATTATAGAGAGTGAGGGTATGTCATGTGAGACATTTTTCCTGTCCTTATGACAGTGGAGCCGAATCAGTCTGTTAGAGAAGGTGCTCCACTGCCTGTCCAGGAAGCCATGCAGGAGGTCTGGATCATCCACAAATGATAATAGTTCCAGATGTTTTTACTGGCTCATTTTAATCATTTCATACACTGCTGGATAGCTTAATCTTCAATGGTATGTCTTTTTATTATAGATGAGGCGCCTGGTTTGAGGCAGCACGCAGGTTTATACCAGCTTATGTAGTGCATATTAAAGAAGCCTCTATGTTTGAAAAATTTAATGTGGAAATGTGTTAAACCTGCATTCTTTAGAACCAAATAGCTTTGTCATTGCAAATAGAGCAATAAAAAATACAACAAGTAAGCTATAAATAGCAGCATGAGTCAATTATCAGTGCAGACATTTATTGGTGCATGTAAGTGACACAGATGGTGTTTGGAAAGGACCGGTCTCTGAGCCTTGAGGTGTGGGTTTTGGTTGATCTCTATCCTCTGCTAGAGTGCAACAGTTCAGATGGTGAGAGCACTCCCTGATGATGTTTTGTGCTTGTTTGAGTATCCGCCAGGTAGGGCCATTTATATTTTTTGTTTTCTGCTGTTCTCACCACTCCTCACAGTGGCTGTTTGTCTGCTACAGAACAGCCTGCATACCACACTGGTAAGCGGTGCATTACAACAGACTCAACTGTCGCACTGTAGAAAGAAATGAGCAGTTGTTCCTCCCAAATGTCCTCTGATGTGCCCACTTTATTATGGCAGGTTCTCTGGAAGGACTTTACTCTCCATCAGTGGGTCTGAGTCTGTTTTGCTTTCCCCCCATAGTCTTAGTGGTGCAAACTGAACACTGCTGATTGTCGCTCTACCTGTCTCCATATACTGACTCCTCTTCACTTGAGATTAGCCCAGAAACATCTGTGTCATCAACATAATGATGTTGGATAAATGAACAGGTCTGCAATCAGAGTTGTACTGGGACTCTGTGTGAAGGGACTCTGCAGATAACCCTGAGGAGCTCCAGTGTTCAGTGAAATGGATGAGAATGTGTGTGGGCCAAGTTTCAAGGTCTGAGTCCTTTATCTGGTGCAGAGAAAGCCCAGTGGATGAGTTTGCTGACTAAATGACTGGGATGATGGTAATTGATGGAAACAGTCACTAGCTAGAATTGGCTAATGTCCCCTAAGTAATTTTTTAAATTTATTTTTTACTGCTTGTATCGAGTCTGATTATGTTGTGATGGTGTGTAAAGATGACATTTTGCTGTTTTCTCTCAGTGAGTGATTCCGAACAGAAGAAGCTGGATGACATGAAGATCTGCACGCTGGAGCAAAGGAGACGTAATCTTTCCAAGATGCACCAGAGAACTCAAAGGTAGTCAAATAATATTTGGAGTTATTCAGGTAGTTTAAACAGAAGTGTAATTTACCAGATCAAAATAATTTTGTTCCGCAGGCTGTATGAGCAGCTGGAGGAGGTGAAGCATCGGAAAGCTTCGAAGAGTCGACAGGAAGATTATGCAAAAAACAGATTGAAAGCTAAGGAGTTCCACAAGGTGAAGCGCTTTAATCATACACAGGCTTCTTGGAGCTGCAGGAACTTTCTGAATTTAAGTTAAAAGAATGTTTTTCTCCCATCTCTTCACAGAAAACCTTACAGAAGCTTCGTGCCAAGCAGACCCAACAGTGATCGACTTTGATTGTGTCATAGTTTACTTTGAAAATTTTATTTATAGTTTTATCAATAAAGCATTTTAAGTTATTTGCACTCAAACTGAATCAGAAAATTTATCAGATAAAATTATGCAAAGTAAAAATATTTTGGCAAATAACAGTACTGAATATTTGAAATCACTTTCACACGAGTCTCTTTAATGAGGAAACATTCAGAAGGTCGTTTACAGATGAACAAAATGTTTCTCAGCTCAGTCAGTTAAGATTTGCCTTAGTTAAATATTATCCATATCTGATATTAGAGCAGGAGAAATATGAACCTGAATGAATTATTAAACACATAATGACATTAAAATACTGTCTAGTGTGGATACAGATCTCCAGCTAGTAAATGTAATTTTGATTTATAAAATTGCTGTAAGAAAGGCCGGAGTGGAGGAGGAAAGAGGCACTTTCTGTATCTGAGCTTTGCCTCACTGGTGTTCAGAGTTTAGAGTATGTCTTAGTTTTGGGACTCTTCTTCTCGAGGGCTGCCTGAGCTGATTTCATCAGATCTTCAGTCTGAAGCATGCTCATGTTCCACGTGGCCTGGAGAAGGAGAAAT